ACCAGGCACAAGGACAGAGTCGGCGTCCCCTCGGTTGTCCCTGGCAGTCGGTGCTCAGCTTCTGGAAAGCGGAGCGCGGGGAGAACGAGGCGGGCAGGAAGCGACTGCTTTAGGGCAGCTCCTGCTGCACCCCCCGCCCGGCGAGCTGCGGGGGCTCCTGTGCTGCCCAGGCGAGGACGCGAAGTGCCAGAGCCTCGCGTCGGGGTCAGACAGGAGCTCTGCAACGGCACGGCCTCAACGCGGGCAGCGTAGGGCACTACGAGCTGCCGTTCAATGGGGACAGAAGGGGGGGGTTAAAAAAAGGAAAAAAGAGGAAGAAAGAGAGAAAGAAGGGAAGAAGTCCTGTTGGCTTCGTGCTGGAGGTGGGCGGCTGACAGTTTTATTCCTGAGAATTGCCCCGTGCGTGATCTCTGTGTTGGGATTTGCAGGCAAGTGACCGCATAAAGCCAGCCGCAAATCCCCGTAACGTACAACGCGGAGCCGAGGCTGGCAAAGGGAGCCAAAGCCCAAAGCGGAGCCCGGCGCGAGGCCGCGGGGTTGGGCAGAGCGGGGCCGTGAGCCGCGGCTTTCCAGGCGGTCCCTGCCCAGCAGCGAGAAAACGGCGGCTGTGCATGAAGCTTGTGCTGGTTGTAACAATAATTATTTGTTTTCCAATTCCTTCTTCCTCAGGGCTTTTCTCTCTCTTTTCTTTTCCTTTCGTTTTTTTCTTTCTTTGTCACAATTTTTGTTTTACCTCCATCTCCCGTGCCTTGCCTTGCCTTTTCCTTCCCTTGCCTTTTCCTTCCCTTCCCTTTTCCTTCCCTTGCCTTTTCCTTCCCTTTTCCTTCTCTTTTCCTTCCCTTCCCTTTATTTCTTTCTTTTCCACATTTCTTTTTTTTTCTTTTTCATTTTTCTTCTCATTTTTCTGTTCCATTTTTCTTATCTCTCTTTCTTTTTTCTTTACCTTTTCCTTTCTATTTTCTCTCCCTTCCTTTCTTCCCTCATCTCCCGCAGCCCCCGACCACAAAAGAGGCCCGCCGGCGGCCCGGGGAGGCGGCGGGGGAGGCCCGGACAGGAGCCGTTCCCCGCACGGCCTCGGGTGCCCGGGCCGCACGTCGCGGCCATCGCACCTGCCGGAGCGGGCGGGTGAAATCCCGCTGGCCGCAGAGCGGAGCGGCCGGGGCCGGGGCGCTGCGGGGCCGTCGGTCGCCGTCGGTTTTCGAAACGGCCGCGGCGCCGCGAAACGGGAGAGGCGGCTCGGGGCGGCCCGAGGAGAGCAGCGAGCGGCGGCTGTCCGAGTTCGGCCGGGGCCGGGGGACGCGCGGGGCCCCGCGGAGGGGCGGCGACCGAACCGCCGAGTGAGAACCGCTCCAGGTGCGGGCGGCGGAGCGGCTTCCCTGCGCTCCGTCCGCTGTGGTCGTTCTGCCCGTCTCCCCTTTCGGTCCTTTATTTGCTTTCTCTTTTTTCTTTTTTCTTTTCGTTTCCTGTTTCTTTTTCTCTCTTTATCTTTTTATTTCTTTTTCCTTTTCTTCTTTTCTCTTTTTCTTCTTTTCTTTCTTTTTTTTTTTTTTAATTTATCTTTCTCTCTTTTTCTTCCTTTCTTTCCTTCTTTCCTTCTTTTTCTTTCTTTTTTCTTTATTTTCTCTTTTCTTTCTTCCTCTTTCTTTCTTTCTATCTTTCTTTCTTTCTATCTATCTATCTTTCTTTCTTTCTTTCTTTCTTTCTCTCTCTCTCTCTCTCTCTCTCTCTCCTTCTCTCTTTTTATTTCTTTTTTCCTCTCTTTTCATACTTCTTTCCTTCTTCTTTCCTTCTTCATTTCCTTCCTTCTCTGTTTCTGTTTCTTTATGTCCTTCCAGTTTCCTTCTTCCTTTTCTTCTCTGCCGTTCTCCCTTCTCTGTTTCTGTCTATCAGTCTGTCTCAGTGGGACTCGGTCAGCGACACATTTGATGTTTGGATTTTTTTGATAGATTCGTTAATTCCGTTCTTACAGTCCAAGCGGCAGTTGCAAAATACCCGCAATAGTTGCCGTAATTGGAATAGTAACGATGGTGGCTATCTGAGTAATAACAGCGCTCATCGATAACGGTCTCAAATTAAACGCCAGGAATCCCCGTTTTTCCGAGTCCCGCAAGAGCCGCGGCTTTCTGTCACCTGCGAGATCTCCCCGCGCTCCTCTGTTTCTCCCCTCTCACAACGAATCCCCGCACGCCCGCGGCTCGGTCCGGCCGAACGGCTGCGAGCAGCGCCCTGGCGGCCACCACAGCCCGACGGACGCCGTATTCGTGCCGCCGTTATTCCGCGCCGCTCGCAGCTCTCGGGCGGGGGGAAGCGCGGGGGTCGCGCAGCCCGGCCCGCTGCCGCTGTCCCCCCGCTATTTGTTCGATGCTCCCCGAGCCCCGCGGTGCTCAGCTCGAGCCGGGCCGTGCGAAACCCCACCCGCCCCCCCGCAGCCCGGCCTCGCCGGGGGCCGTCGGGGTTCAGAGGTGAGGGGCGGGAGAGACAGCGGGGCCGGGCAGAGGCCGAGGAGCGAGCAGAAAGGAGGGCTCGGGGAGGGCCGGGAGGAGAGATGCGGGCGGAGGGGTGAGTGTGGAGGGCGGACGGAGGGAATGAGGCGGCGGGGGAGCTCTACGGGGAGAGCCCGTCGGGGCAGTGGCTCACACCTGCGGAGCAGCCCGGGCGCGGGCTGTGTGGGGACGGCCGACCCGGGAGATCCAAAGGGCAGAGGCCCGGTGTGGCACGGCCCGGGTTCTGACAGGAGCCGCGAGGAGTACGAAGGGAGCAGCCCTCGCCTCGTCTGAAAGGTCTGGGGTGCGGGGCCCCAACGGCAGTGGTCGCCTGCTGCGGGAAGAGATCCTGGGGAGGGCAGTGGGATCATAGGGAAGCGGCGATGCCCGGACTTGGGGTGCATCGACGAGGCCGAGGCTACCGTCGGGGGGTCGCGGGGATGTGGTACGGTGAGCAGTTTTTCCAATGCCGCCGATGGTTCTCCCACCTCCGGGGCCCGAGGATTTGGGGGCTTAGGAGATGTGTGCCAGCGGCGGGGGAGTCCGGCTCTTCCCCCCGCCTCGAGTTCTCGGTGCTCAGCGAGGCGGGGATTCGCTTCGCAGTGCTCCGACGGGGGCCCGCGGGTCTGGCGAGATCCCGGCAAATGCGGCCCGGGCTTTAGGTAGGCACGCGGGGATACGGGAATGAGCTGGGAAACGGCCCGGGCAAGCACAGCGCGAGCAGCAGCCGTCGTGCTGGGGTGCAGGACTTCATTTCCAGATTTTCGCTTTCCTTCCGCGGCAGAGGCTGACCCAGAGCCGGGCACGTCCCTCCCGCGGCAGCCCGTGGCCTCCCCGCGCCGTTGGCAGTAACTCTCCCGTCTCTCCGCTTTTCCCCTCCGCCCCGACAGTTTCGCTCCTTGATTCCTAACGAGTCCCGTTCCCGCACCGCCCGCAGCCCGGCAGCAGCGCGGGGCCGCAGCGGCAGCGCCTTCGCTTTCTGTGCCGGCGCGGCGGGAGGGAACGCACCCGGCCGGGAGCAGCGCTGACAGCAGCGGCGGGGAAATAAACCCCGATCGTGTCACGTTCTGCCCTTATGCCTTTAGCTGCAGGAACATATGCTCAAATATGTACGAGTAGTCTAGATTTTTCTCTGCAAATATTTTTACCACGTCCAAAGATAATATTTCAACAGAAGAATCAAGCCCCGCAGGCTACAGACGGGGCAGCTATATATAACCCGCTTGCTCACTCCGACTCTCCGCACATCGCTCGGGTTATGCAACCCCCATCTCGGCGGTAGCCACCGGCGCGCCCCACGGCTCCGCCCGCGCCGTCGGGGCATTTCCCCCGGGACTTCGTTGCGGCCGCCCGTCCGGAGGCACCGGGACCGGGACGGGAAGCGGGGCCGGGCCGGGCCCGGCGGGCGGTGCAGCCTCGCCCCACGCCGATGCGGAGGACCGGCCCGGGGGACGCCGCGGCTCTCCGAGGGGCCGCTGCCGGGCGGTGAGTAGAGCCACGGCCGGGACCGAGAGGGGAACCGGGGCAGAGAGGCCCCGGGCCGGGCAGGTGCTGCGGCGGAGCGGGCTGTCCTGCCGCCGGGCCGGGCAAGGGCTCGCCCTCCACCACGCCGGCTGCGTTCCCTTCGCTCCGCTTTTTGATTTTATTTTTTGTGGTGAAAGAAATGCTCCGACGCTCGTGTGCGAGTGTTGTTGGCTCGGGGATGGAGGTCCCATCGCGCTCCGCGGGGCTGGCGGCGATACCTACGCCTGCTGCGCACCCGACGCGCGGCTCCCCGCGGCCGCCGAGCCCCGTCCGGGCCGTGGCAGCCCGCAGCCCCGCGCTGGATACGGGACGGAGGAAGGGAGCGATCCCCCTCTCGGTGCCGGACATCCGCAGCATGACGCCGGGCTCGGCTCGGCTCCGCTCGGCTCTTCCCTTCCCTTCGGCTCCCGGAGCCGTGATTGACACGGCCGCCCCTCCGCCCGCCCCGAGCACATCCCGGCCCTCCCCGCCGGCCGCTCGCCGTGCCCGGGAGGCGGGGAAGGGCCTCCCCAGCCCTTTGACACCGTCTCGGCAGGAGTTTCACTTCGCTTTCGCCGCTGCCACCGCCGCCGCTTCTGCAGGCAAACACCCCCGGTTCCGTGTGACGCCTCCCAGCCGCTGAACGGGGAAACGCGCCTCTAAGGGAGCCACTTTCCCTACGTGCAGGAGAAAAGGAGGGGACGGGCGGGCGGCAGGAGGTGGTGGTTGGGGGGAAGGGAAGAGAGGAAATAAATTAATAAACCGCAGGGAAAGAAGTTGAGTGGAGAGAAGCGGCGGCCCCGGGGAAAAGCACCGTGGGGTTTCCATCGATCCCCGCTCCCCTCTCCCGCAGGGCTCCATGCGGCCGCTGCGGTGCGCGGCACTGCGCAGAGGGCCCCGGGGAAACTCCGTGCTCCCCAGCGCCCTTCCCGGGGGGTGGGGGGGGAGGGTTGGGGTTGGTTTTTTTTTTTTGTTTGCGGCATTTTGTTGGATTTCTTTCTTCTTCTTTTTTTTTTTTTTAGCTTCCCCCCCGCCCCCCTTCTGGAAGGAGGGGGGTCCCGCTCGCACCTCCCTGGATGGTGCGGTAGAAAGGAGGGGAGTGAGGGGCGGGCGGGGGGGCTCGTGGTGGGAGGCTGCCGCGGCGGCTGCTGCCGCATTGGTGTCTCCCCTATGGACGAAAACAGCCCTCTGTCTCCCAAGGCAAATGCTTTCAGTATCGCCTCTCTGATTTCAGTCGCCGCCGCCGCCGAGCACGCAGGGAAGGGAGCGCTGGAGGAGCGCAGCGGCGGCCGCAGCGCGCCCGCCCGCCCCGCCGCCCGCCCGCAGAAGATGCACTTCAGCACCGTCACCAGGGACATGGAAGGTGAGCGCGAGGCTGCGGGGCCGTGACTCTCCGCCATCGCCTTTCGGGGCTTTCCGCGCGCCGCGGCCGGGCCGGGCACCTGGGGCCGCTCGGCGGTGCCACGGGCCCGCAACCTTCGCTGCTCCCCGCTTAGCCGGGACGAGGTCCTCAAATCCCGGTCGGAGAGCCGGGCTCGGTTCGCGCCGCCTCGTCCTCGCGGCTCCCCGAAGCGCTGCAGCATCCCCCGACGGCCGCGGCCGTGCCCGGGGCGGCGGTGGGCCTGGGCTCGGCCCTCGCCGGCTTCGAGACGGCCGTCGCGCCCGGGGGCTCCGTCGGAAATAAGCCGAGAGATTCCCCCGGGCCCTCGGGGTGCCTTCCAGGGTCGGGCAGGACTCGCGGCAGCCTGCCGCTCCCCGGCCAACCGTCACGCTCCGTGCGGCCCGCTCGGGACGGCGGCCGAGGGCTGCGCTCCCGGGGCCGTGAGAGGCTTCTCGGTGCCTTCGTGGGGCTCCTTCGCTCCGCTCCCCTCCGCCCCCCGGGGGGGAACAGACGCAAAGTGGAGCCGCTGCCCCCGGCAGCCACGGCTCCACGGCTCCTGAGCCAGGGACGTTACCTGCAGCACCGTCGCTACACGGAAATAAGAACCGGTTTCTTTCTTTGGGTTTTTCCTCCTCCTTTTGTTTTTGGGGGATTTTTTTTGGTTTGTTTGTTTTTGGTTTTGTTTTTGAGGGGTGCTGGGAGGTTTTTTGTCCCGATTCGCGTGCGGCGAAGGAGGCCTTCAGCAAAGATAACGCGGGCTCTTGGCAGATGTCTCGGGTTTGCAAAGAAACAGAATAGAAAGGAGAAGAGAAGGGGGAAACGCGGCGCCGAGGAGGCAGCAGCGAGAGCGGCGAGCTCTCCGCCTGCCCCGGGGGGAGCGGGGCTGGGGCCGAGCGGAGCGGAAAGGGGGAGGGCCCCGCTGGGCCGGGCGCGGAGGCGGAGGGCACCCCGCGGAGCGGCGCGGAGCCGGAGGGAACGCGGGAGCCGGAGCGGAGCCCTGATCGCCTGTTTTTGGAATGATTTCAGCTATCTCCAGCCCCTGGCTCACCCAGCTGTCCCATTTTTGCGATGTTGCAGCTTTCACGGCCAACAGCCTGAGCAGCCTGAACGCCTCCGGGGGGTACCACCTCTCCCCCTCCCCGGGGGACCCGTACGGACAGCATGAACCGCCGCACTACGAGCCCTGCACGGCTCAGCAGCACCCGCACCCGCCGCCCCAGCCGCAGCACGGTTACCCCTTCGGCGGGGCGGCGGCGGCCGGGGCCAACCCGCCGCCTCCGGGCCCCGAACCGCCCGACGGCGCCGGGGGAGCCGCCGCGGGGCCCGCCGCCGTCTCGGGCTGCTCCGCGGGGACGGCCGCCGCGGCCAAGGCGCCGGTGAAGAAGAACCCGAAGGTGGCCAACGTGAGCGTGCAGCTGGAGATGAAGGCGCTGTGGGACGAGTTCAACCAGCTGGGCACCGAGATGATCGTCACCAAGGCCGGCAGGTCAGTGCGGAGGGACGCCCGGGGGGCTCGGCCCGGAGCCGCTTCCATTCGCCAGGCGCGGGGGGGAGCGGGGCTCTCTCGGGGCGGCGGGCACCGGGCTGCCGGCGGTCCATCTTCGCCCTTCTCCCGATACGAAAGCTCCGTGTGCGGCGGGCAGCGCCGGGCCGCGTTGTGCAGAGCGGGGAAAAAAAAAAAAGAACGGCCCGCACCGCGGTACCTTTAACTGAAACATTTCCAGTACGGGCGGGTCTTTTCCTTTCGGCGGGGACTGCAAACAGCCCCCGGTTCTGGCGGTGTAAAGCCTCGGAGCGTCCTCCAGGACGAGTGCGTTTCCCGAGGATCGAATGACGAGCGCGGCTCTGCCGGCAGCTCTGCTCGGGGGCCGGGAACAAAGGCCTCGGCCTCGTTCGAAACGGGCAAAACGCGGGGAGAGGAGAAATCCCGATGCTGATCGGGAATCGCCTCAGTTCATTGCGATCTCCGGGCAGAGCTGCTGGCCGCCTCCTGCGACGTCCCGGCGGGGGCGGCAGGGAAGCCGTGCCGGCTGCGGGCCGCCCCGGGGTGGCTGCGATGAGCCCCGGGAACGGCTTCGAAACGGCCGCGCGTTTCTGCTCTCCCCACGGCGATTTTGGAGAAGTAAAGATGCAAAAATGTAAATAGATTCTCATGTGCGCGGTCGCACATTTCAAAAACATTTTCTGAGTGACTCGACTCGAGCCTCCCCGCGCCCGGCGAGGAGCAGCTCCGGGCCGGCGGCACCGGGCGGCATTCCGTGCAGCCCCCGGCCCGGCGCTGCTTTCCGCGGTGAAAGGGCCGCTCCGGTGGGACCTCAGCTCTGCTTTCCTCGGTCCCCGAGGACAGCCAAAAGATTGCGAATAGGCGACTCCAAAAGGGCCCCTAAAGGAGCAAACTCGATTCGAATCCCGGGCTTTCTTCCTCCTCTTCGTTTATTTGATGACAACGACAAATATCCAGACGGGGGGGAAACGGGGGTGGCGGTGTAAAAATAGGATAAATGGGGGTAAAATCAGCAGGACGAAGCGCGGGGACGGCTCTGCGAAGCGCGCTCTGTGCAGCGCCTCGGGGCCGGCCCCGCTGTTTGTCTAGGTGGCTCTTATCGACTCGGGATGTTTGTTTTAAAAACTTCGTTTTAAAACAAGAAACACCGGAACCGGAGCTAATGGGGGCTTTTACACCTTTAAAAATAATAATAACAGAGGGAGCTGCTGGAAATGGCCCCCGGAGTTCTCACAGAGTTACAGAGAGGAAGGGGACGCGGCCCGCGGCGCTGCTCGGTGCGGGCTGACGGAGCGGCGGGGTCGGGTGCGGAACCCGGGGGCACACAGCCCTCCCGGCAACCTAAACGGCCCCGGGAGGCGCCCGGCAGTGCAGCCTTGTGCCTTGGGAGCGAGCCGGGGAGAACCCTTCGTAGCCGGGTTGGATCGGGGCGTTTTTTCAGGAGGTGTTCGGAGTTTGTTTTTTCAACGGCTGCAAATCTTTTCCCTGAAATGCCGCCTGCTGTCGCTTTCCCGGATTCTTATCCGGGAAGAAAATGCATCCAGCAGAACGGCAGACGTGCGAGCCGTGCCCCGGGGACACATCTGCGGCGCGTCCTGAAGGCAATGCGGGCCGGGCCGATGCGAGGGACACGGTGGCCGCCCCGGCCCCTTCCGTTTTCATCCCCGCTGTCCTCGGAGCGGCACCCGCGGCCTCCGCTCAGCCGCGTTCTCTGTGCTCCACGCGGAGATAAGCGGCGGGAGCAGCCCGGGGCCGCCCCGCACCGCCCCGGGTCCCTCCCGCTCTCCGTTCGCCCCGCAGAGATGCGTACCGGGACAGACGGGGCAGCGGAGGGGATCCGAACCGGGAAGGGGCTCGGGGGAGATCCCGGTTATCCTCTCATCCCTGCCGGCCTGAGGGCTTCGTTCGCCCCTCTGGGCTGGAGACGCCCTCTTCGGCCCCAGGGATCGCGCCGCTGTTGTAAGTGCTGCCGTAAAACTGCCCAATTTTGGAGGAGCAGAAGCTCATTTCCCTGGGGCCGCCCGCGGGGAAACGTGCTGGCCCGGTCCCTGTCCCGGCTCGGCTCTGCATCCGTCTCGAGTCAGTCCACTTGAAAATGTGATGAAACAGCGGGAGAAAATTATTGTGTCCCTCCCCGCCAAGTGGAGGTGGTGGTTCTCGTTGGTCCCTGAGCATTTTAGGATGTTTGGCACAACCCGGACGAGGCTTATTCCTCGAGATGCTGCCGGGGGACACGGCAGCCCCATCCCGAATGCGAGCGGTACCCGGGGCGCCCGAGGGGAAGGGCCGGGGGCACTGCGGGGCTCCTGCATTCCGGGCCGACCTCACAGAGCTCCCTGAGGCCCCGAGTTCAGCTTTCTTCTCTCTGTGGCAGGCGCATGTTCCCCACCTTCCAGGTGAAGATATTCGGCATGGACCCCATGGCTGACTACATGCTCCTCATGGATTTCGTCCCTGTCGACGACAAGCGCTACCGGCAAGTACCCCCCTCCCCGGCCCCGTTATAACGAGTTCTGTGCTGGCAGCGGTGTTCCCCCCTCCTCGCTTTGCGCACAGCGCCCGGGCACGACCGAGCCAGAGAGCGCAGCTCCCCGCGTGCCCAGCCCGGAGCCCCGCCTGCCGCTCCCCGTGCGCAGCGGGAAGCACTCGGGTGCCTCCAGAAATCCCCCCGAGGCTCCCGCAGTGCCCGGTGCAGGCAGCGGCTGTCCGAGCCCCAGCCCTGCCCGTGTTTCCAGCGGCGGCACCGGAAGGCCTCGCCGAGCGGTACGGGCAGCGGTGCGGCAGCCCCTGGAAGGCGCAGCAGAGAAAGGCGCGTTATGCGTTTGGCTTCAGCTCGGGACGCCGAGCAGGCAGCGCACGCAGGGACCGCAGGGTCCGATATATAAATATTTGGACAGATATCCAAATTCTCAGGGCGTCCTAGAAATGTTTGCTTGTCAAGGGAAGTGGGATATATAACATCCAATTGAGTATATCTTTAAAAAGTAATGTTTCTGCTGAGCCCAATGGTGTCTAATTCCCCCTGTGCAAACACGGGCCCGTAAAGTAAACACGCGGATAGAAGATTGGTTTCTCTGTTTTAAACGTTACTGTTGAATGCGGACTTTGAAAGAACGAAGCGGGGCTGCAGAGCTCCGCACCCACTGCTAAACCCGCAGCTCAGAACGCTGCCGTTCACTCTTCTCTGGGAGCTGCGGCCGCTCCATCCCATGCAGTGGCCACGCATCGCCCCGTCCCGCACGGCGCTCCCCCCACCCCATCGGATGCCGTTTCTCCCCCCGCAATGCGTGCGGCCGCGCTCCTCGCAGTTCGGCGGGCCGGGGGCTGCGGGCGGGAGCCGGGGGGGCCGCGGGGCTCGGAGCTGCGGCTGACGGCACCCCCCCTCCCCCAGGTACGCTTTCCACAGCTCCTCCTGGCTCGTGGCCGGCAAGGCCGACCCCGCCACGCCCGGCAGGGTGCACTACCACCCGGACTCCCCGGCCAAAGGGGCGCAGTGGATGAAGCAGATCGTCTCCTTCGATAAGCTCAAGCTGACCAACAACCTGCTGGATGATAACGGCCATGTAAGCGCTCCGAGGGTAGGGGACGAGCCCGGGACGTCTCCGCGCCGCGGGTCCCTCCGCCGCAGCGCCGGGGTCGGGCAGGCGGCGGGGCCGGGGCCGCGTTCGCCTCTCTGGAAGCTCCGCCTGGATCAGTTATTGTCTCCTTGCTCGTTTTATCATTCAGATCATTTTGAACTCCATGCACAGATACCAGCCGCGCTTTCACGTGGTCTACGTGGACCCCCGGAAAGACAGCGAGAAATACGCGGAGGAGAACTTCAAAACCTTCGTCTTCGAGGAGACGCGCTTCACGGCCGTGACCGCCTACCAGAACCACCGGGTGAGGCGGGGGCACCGGGCAGCGGGGGGCGGGAGGGACCTCATCGCGTGCACGAACCGAGCCGCGGCTCCGCGGAGCGAAGCGTCACGCACGCTTTGTTTGGAGAAACGCATGAGTTTCCGCCTCGGAACGCAGTTACACGCCTAACACCAACCCGGCCCGCCCCTCACCGGGGCAGCAGCCCGTGCGATCACCCGCTCGCATCAGGCAGCGCACGGAGCGGCAGTCCGAGTCCGAGCACCGGGATGTCGTGGCGGAGCTCAGCTCCGTGTCCCCGTGCCACCCGCGGGGCCGGGCTGCGCCTTTAAGGGCCGCCGAGATCCGCCCGGCTGGCATTTGCCTGACGGCTCCGGACAGCTGCTCCTTCTCTCCTGCGTTCTATCAGTTTGACCTCTAAGGCTGGAACTGTCACTGAGGGGCTTAGAGTTTGTTTTTCAACCCATTCCGGAAACTCACAATCTCATTATCCGTGGATTTGCTTAAATATAGAGAACGTCCCGCCTTCTCCCCGGCGAATTAAATAAATACATAAGTATGATTTATCCAGCGATTTGTCTTAGCTGCTCCGCTGGTGACCCACACGACGTGGCACTTTCTTACAAGTGCACTCACGCCTCCCCCTGAGCCCAAGAACCCACGTTGGGCAGCCCGGCCCGCGGCCCTCGTGGAGTGGCGGCGCGCTGCGCTGGGCCCCCGGGCCCTCTCCGTCCTCCGCACGGCCCACCCGTTATCCTCCAGCACCTCTCGCTTCTCCCCGCAGATCACGCAGCTGAAGATCGCCAGCAACCCTTTCGCCAAGGGATTCAGAGACTGTGACCCCGAGGACTGGTGAGGCCGCAGCACGGAGCCCCGCTCCGAGCGCACAGCGCGGGGCAGCGCCGGGTGCCGGCCCGGCTCCACGCGCTCGGCCCGTCACTTCTCCCCTTCTCCCTCCAGGCCCAGGAACCACCGGCCCGGGGCCCTCCCTCTCATGAGCGCTTTCGCCAGATCCCGGAACCCGGTGTCGTCCCCGGCGCACCAGAACGGGACGGACAAAGGTGAGCAGCGCGTTGCGGGCGGGGCGCGCGGCTGCCGCCGCCCGCGGTTCGAAGCGCCGCGGTCAGCTCCTCGGCCGGGCTCGCCCAGCTCCCACCCGCTCACGGCCGCTCCGGCGGCAGCGGCTCTCCCCCCGCGTCCCGCACTGCCGGGCTCGGCGCCGCGCCCGCCCCGCCCGCGGAACGAAGGCACGTCCCGTCCGTGCGCGTTACGCCTCGGGGCGCGGCGGCCCGCCGGCCGGCTCGGCGCTGCGCGAGGCCCCGTCCCCGGCTCCCCGCCCCCCGGCCCCCCGCCGCGGTCCCCCGGCCGCGCTCTGACGCGGTGCTCCCGCAGATGCCGCCGACGGCCGCCGGGACTACGAGCGGGACGCGGCGGGCGGCGCGGCGCTGCAGGCCGAGGCGGCGCACCAGCAGCTCATGTCGCGCGTGCTCAGCCCCGCGCTGCCGGGCGGCGCCGGCGGCCTCGTGCCCCTGAGCGGCGGCGGCCGGCCCAGCCCTCCGCACCACGAACTGCGCCTGGAGCCCGCCGCCTCGGAGCCGCTGCACCACCACCCCTACAAGTACCCGCCGGCCGCCGCCTACGACCACTACCTGGGGGCCAAGAGCCGGCCCGCGCCCTACCCGCTCCCCGGCATCCGCGGGCACGGCTACCACCACCACCACCACCATCACCACCACCACCACGTGAACGCGGCCGCCAACGTGTACTCGCCGCCCGCGCCGCCCGCCAACTACGACTACGGGCCGCGATAACGCGCCCTCGGCGCGACGGACCGGCGCGCCGCGACCGTTAACCGTCCTCTCCGCCCCTCCTTCCCGCCTTTCCCTCTCTCCTGCCTCGCGAGCGAGCCGATTGGTCAGCTCGATCCGATCGACGTCCGGACCGGCCAATCCCGCGCCGCCGGGCTGCGAAGGAGGCGGTGGGCCGCGGGCCGCCCCGCAGCCGCACTTTGATAACCGAAGCCACGTGCCGTTCCCGCCCTTCTCCCGGCGCCTCGCTGCTGGCGGGAACCCGGCGCGCGGGGCTCCGGGAAGAGGGCGGGAGGACGGGGAGCGGTGAGTGGGGGAGCGGGCACCGGGCACCGAGCCCCGGGCCGCGGCTGGGGGCGGCGAGCGGCGCCGTCCGCTCCGGGGTCCCAGCGGTAGAGGAGAAAAGGCCGGGGGCGGTGCTGCGGGTCCGCGGCCTCGTGTACTGTGCCGGCTGCGGGGGGGAAGGGCGGCGGGGCCGAGGGCGGCGTGAGGCCGGGCCGTTCGGGCGCAGCCGCGTCCTGCGGAGCTGTGATGAGGAGCCCGGCCGGGAGCAGCGCCTCGTGCAGCTCCTCGACGGCACAGAAACCGAGACTGAGGTTAAGAACTCGGCGCGGGGCCGCACGGCTCAGGCTGCGCTCCCGCGGCGTCCTGCCCTGCGCTCTGGGGCTGCGTTCCACTCCTCCCCCCACCCCCCCGTGCCTCTTAGGGGCGCTTCCCCAGAATGCCCCGCTCCTGTTTGGCCGCCCCGCGCTGCAGCAGCCCCAAAGCGCCCACCTGCACCTCCCTGCCTGCTGCAGCTTCCCTCTTAAAGCTGGTAAGTACTTCTGCTTTTTGTCCTTAAACTTCTCCTCCGGTTTTTCCTTCACTGTTGAGGAGATGAGCCGTCTGTCACGCTTACCAGCGATGTGTTTTGAATGGCTGGCTTGTGTTTCTTGTCAGAAGGTTGCCGACTGTCAGTCCTTTTGTGTTCAGAGGAGGTGTTGGTATATGCCGTGTTGGTATGCAGTATTATAAATGCCTTCCTGATTCTCCCACTATGAAAAACGAGGGGTCGCTATTATTTTTTCTTTCTTTTGGAGTCCTCTGTTCGTGTTTGTGCATTTTCACTTCAAACTGCTACTGTTTACTGGTGCCTTCTGGAGCATAACCCTCGTGCTGTGCGGGTGGCAGTGTTAGCAGCAGTGCTTATTCTGTCTCTGGCAGCTGGCACTGGGCTCACAAAACGCTTTGGAAGGGTGTGAGGAGGGGTGCAGGCTGATGGGGACATGTCATGTATTCTTTGTTCTGTTATAAAAATATATCTGGATCCATGAAAAAGAGTTGTGCAAGAAATATGTATTTTTTTTGACATTTGCAGTGAATTGTGAGATTCCTGGTGTCTGACAAAACCGTAATTAATGTTCTCAGCAAAGCTGATGTAAAATAGCTTTGTGCTTAGCTCTCTGATGTGCTCTGTTGCTTTGCTGCTGTTGCTTCACAGTTCTCAGATATGAATTGTTATGTGTAAACAGATTAGTGCCAAAGCTTTGGTCAAACCTTTAATGAAGTTATATTTATTATTTCTTTCAAAGATTATACAAACACTCTTTTTCTTGATAGTTGCAACGTGAGGGAAAAGTGAAGATAACCAAAGAATCATATCTGCAAACAGTGTAGATAATTGTAGATATATGTAGATATATGTAGATAATCGTGTTACATTTAAATTGGAAAGACATTAGACAATGACATTTATAAATGTTTTTCCTCTTCTTTCCCTTTCTTTCTTTTCTTTGTTTGGTTACTTCTGTGTGTCAATGAGTTTGTCTGCTCCAAAGTTGAAGCCTCCCCTGCAAGAGGCGGCCATTAAGTAAGGAGGGATGCTCAACTGGAGCTCCAGGAGTTGTTTACCCTGAGCAAACACTGGGGCTTCATAGGTGATTACCCCCTCCCTTTTGTCTCCCCGGTTGCTGGTGGTCTCCCATTATGCAGCAGCTTGCAGGGTTGGGGTCTTACATTGAAATGAATATGGTACACTTCTATTTACGCTTGTTAGCACCTGTTTTCTGAAAACATACAGAGAGTGCAGCAGGAGGTGCCACTGGCTTCTAATGCAGACTGGCCACACGCTTTTTCAAATGCATTTTGCTTCCCAAGCAGTGAGAGGACTGAAGGACTCAACATCAGGACTAAACTGTGCTCTTGTAGAAAGCGACTCGAAGTCCTTGCCCTGTCAGTAGGAAGCACAATGTATCTTTTAGAGGAAAATCGCAGAATTTCCACCTGTGGCTGTGGGCTCTGGGCCCTGAGGGTCACTAGGCTGTCCTCTGTGCTGTCCTGCAGGAGCAGGGAGTCTTGCTCAGGAATGGGAAGAACATGGAACTGTGTCAAGCCTATCATTTTAAGTGCTAAAATTGTTTCCATCCTTTCATTGATGGCTTTTAAGCTATCAATTCGCAAGGTGCTTTCCCGTGTTAGTATTAGGCTTGCTAGCAGTCCATTTTGCATCATGTTTTAGCCCTTAAAGCACGCTGCCTGAGGGCTTTCACCAGTATTTCCTCCTTGTGAGATGTCCACGTCTCACTGGATGAGACTTCCAGATACAAGAAACACAACTGGTTACTTTTCTATTGCAACAGAAAATTCACTTGCAGACAGCAAATGTGAAGAATTTTGTAACACTGTACTTGGAGCAGTGGAAATCTTTTTGAAAACTGCAGAAAGCTGTAATGCTTTAATTTCATGTTACCTGTCGGCCAGTTAGTCGAGATATAAATGAGGCACGGCTTGTGCATGATACCTGTGTTGCAGTTTCACTTGAAAAATGACTTTGTATGATTTGATTACATGTTTAAACTTCACTCAGTACCTGCTGTCACTGAGACCTGTGGCATGTACCTGAAAGAAACCTGCAGCATTTCCAGACAATGCTTCCACTTACAGTTGCCTCAAGTCACACATAATGCTGTGTATTTAAAAGCTGCTGGTAAAACAGGCCTGAGCACCAGGGGTACAAGCATCCTTTGTCTGTCCCAAAGAGCACTAGAGAATAAATTAGCCATGTGGCTCCATTTTCCAGAGGTACAGGCTGAATTTACTGGTTGCTCCAAAGGTCTGAAGAACACATCGCTTGCTGCACTGGGTAAATAGAGGATTAGGCACTTGCAGGTGAAACAAGGGAGGTCTTTGCTTGATCAGTTACTCAACGTGGGATACTCTAGGCTTCTGGGAGCTTGTTTTGCTGTTTTTCCTTGCTGGAGGATCTAACTAAATTCAGCGTAGGGGTAGGAGTGTGGGATGAGACTAACCTGTACTTTGTGTTCATGAATGCTGTTTACACACTTTATTATTTTTTAATTTTTTTCTGCTCATGGACAGCCTGGTGATAATCTGGGTCGAACTGAAGGGGGTCACCAGGAGGCACCTCTCAGCACGGCTGGGCTCTCAGTCACCTCAAGTGCCCAGGTGCACAGGGTGCATCAGTGTCCTTTGTGTGCAGAATGACCCGAGGACTGCAGTAAGAGCAGAAGTCAGATTGCAGCTGCTGGGCTGGGCAGGATATGGTTGCATTTGCTTTGGTTGCTGCTTGCTCTGTACAGCTGCTGAGCCCCGTTGTCCTTTTCTCAGTCTGTTCTGGTGGCTGTGATCCTCCTCCGTGATCACAAAGAGCAAATATTCACCTGCAAAATTGTCCTTGTGTGCAGTAGGATTTTGGTGGGAGCGGATTCCGTGCCTGTAGCTAGCAGGTGAACGTTTCTGGACCGCTGCCGTGACATTCCTCACCGAGTTCCTCCACGCCAGGTTCCTCTGCTCTGCGGCTCCCCTCCGCACGGGGCAGATGTCCCGGAGGGCAGGGAGGGGCTTCCCGATGCCCCCTGCACGGGCGCTCGCGGGGCTGCGTGCCTGGGGGTTGTGGTGCGCGGCTGCGCTGCACGGTGTCGGGGCATCCCCGCAGCTGCCGGGCCGCTGGCCGTGCCCGAAGAGCAAGCTCCCTCCAGAGGGAAGAGCTGCGCATCGCACCGAGCGGATGGACCCCTGGAGAACGAGCCCTTAAGAAAACTTTTGCCCGAGCTTGCAAATATACAGTCTGAGAGAAAAATAGAGATTTGGCTTAGGAACCTGAGATGTGAACTTTAAAGCACGTGGGCACAAATAAGGAAGTGCAGTAACCTGTGGGTTAGTGTGTGAGGATAATCAGCCAGCAGTAACTCGGCTCTTGCTGTAAGCCTCTGCTATGAGACGTGCAGCCAAAATAGCACTGCATACCTACCTGCATACTTGCTTTTTTAACATAGGAGTTTTTTCCTGTTAATTATTATATTTCCCCTGATTAGTAAGACATTTAATTTACAAGTGAATTAATTTCACCTGACCCTGGCTGAAAGCAACCATGCCCAGAGTCTGCTGTGAATGGCCATTACCATAAATTCACCACGTGTTCTGTCACGTGCTCTCGACTGAAGCAGCAGACACCCAGTGTGTGAGAATCTCTTTGGTGTACCTGAGGTTTGCTGATCTCCATGTGCAGTATTTCATGTCTCATCTTTTGCCCATTGTGTTGTACACGCAATCCAGGTGAAAAGCAGGAGCTGGTTTTGAAGGTATCTGTTAATTTGAGAGAGATGGATGTGCCCCATGTGTGCTGTATGTGTAAAATGCTGCTTTTCAGAGGTCTACCTCCTGTCAGGAAATGCATGGAAAGCAGTGCATGCATTGCATATGCTATAAAAAAATGCATCCACTCCCACTATTAATGGAAATGACCTATTGTGAATTTACCAAAGATAATATAGTTTTATAAATTGGCCGCATATGTCTGTATAATATATTTATTATATCGCATTTCATGGCATTTCTGTTTTATGAAATTCTGCCCTGAATATGTCACATATGTTTTGCATATATGTGCAATAGTTGGCCAAGTATATCCAAGTAAAGTATGATAAATGTGTTCTCCCCATATGGGAAATTAAATGTTTTTCCAGATTAAAAAAAAAAGATTTACGAAGAGCAGTCTATACAAAATAATTACAATAAATCGCTCA